TTTATTTTCTCTTTTTTCCTTCTGTTCTTTTTGTTTTTCTACTTCTTTTTCTACTTTTTTATTCTCTCTTCCTCTTCTCCCTTTTTTGCCTCTTGTTCTTCTTATATTTTTTTTCTCCATAATTCTCCTACTTTTTTGTTATTCTCGGTTTTTCTTCTATGCTCTTTTTTTTCTTTTTCTTCTTCTTCTCTTTCTCTATTCTTCTCATATTATTGTTGTTGTTCTTCTTTGTACTCTTGTTTTCCATTTTTTATCTTTTGTATAAACTGTGGTATAAATAGAAAAAGTTAATCTACAAATAGAGTTAAGATTTTATAAAATGTGTATACGAAAAAAAAATATTCACTCTTGCGTAAATAGATGCTTGATACAACCCTTTATACTAAACAACAGTCAATGTTGCAAAGTAAATATTTTTAAAATTAAAATTTATGTTTTGAATATTATTTGGGATTTTAGCTAGTTTAAAGTTAATTATTTTTCTTTTTGTTAATCTTACTTATGTTTTAAGCTATCAAAACCTAAATTTTGATAAAAGTGAATTTGATTTTTAATAAAAATATAATATATTAAAAGTGTATTAAAACTTCTCTCCATTTTAATAAAAAGATAATATGATTAATATTTTTTTGTTAATCATACCCGATTTAATTGTATAAAACCTATTATATATATATGTTGGTTTAAACGGTTTATGATCTAAATCAAATATCAAACCATTTAGTTTTATATTAAATTAAATTAAATTTATAATTTGTAATAAAATTGGAAAAAGAAAACCAAAAAGTGGTCTTCTTCCTCTCGCATTCTCTCCTCCTTATCTCTCCTTCCACAAAATTAAAGCAGCGATCAAAATTTAACATCTGAGGAAATTGGAAAAAAAAAAATCAAACCATTGCTACAAATCGAGAGAGAGAGGGATTTGAATATCTTGGAGTATGTGAGGAAGAAGATGAAAGAAATTAAGAGAAGAAAAACAATAATATTGTTTTAAATGAACTTAAATTAGCCATTAGGGGTTTTTTTGTTTGGATTTCCTTTAATCTACAACAAAGAGGTTTGGTGTATGAGAGAGAGTCTAACAACACATAAACACTTTTCCTAAATTTGTAGGGATGTTTTCTTGATTGTCCTGAAATTATGGAGGAACGATCATCACTATGGACAACGGACAATGGAAAAAGGCATACAAATGGCAAAGACTCGAAGTGGCAAAGAAGTCAAGTTAACACATAAGACCACGTCGAATATTCCGCTTAGAATCACATGACTTTCACTTCAAGTCATCTCTCTGAACTCTTTCGTGGTTAATAATTTTGTGACTCTCAATATATTGGTCAAAGAGTCGCTGTTGGAATCGATAATTCCTTTGATAATGATATTTCTATTTGAAAATCAGTTTTCATAAAAGTATCTTAAATTCATCAAAAGTATCAAACATTAAAGTCTGCTGTGTTGAGAATGCTTCCTTGGATTTCAGAAATATCAAACTTTAAAGTCTTTCACTCTTACATTTGTATAAACTTCTTTATTTTTCTGTTATTACTTAAAATTTTTTTTTGTATAATTACAAAGTAAATTTGAATATAAAAATGTATTTTTCTACTTTATAGTTCAAAGAATCATTCGAGATATCTAATTTTGTTTTACTTCAATTCGAACCTAAAAAATATTAGAGTAAATCGAAACTAAAAAATCAGTTTTTCTTTTCTCTAACAATCTAAACCAAAAGAACAAATTGGAACATAACTTTTTGTATTTTTCTAAGTCATCACATTATCAATATAAATCCGTAAAACACTATTATCTTAAAATCGTATGTATTCAAACTTTTGTTAGTTATGATTAGTACTTACTAGGATAAGAGTTAAGTTGTAAAAATATATGGAATATTTATAAGGGAAAAGTATATCCTAACTAACATCAAGAAGATATGAAGTATTTAATAACTAAACAAATAAATCTTTGGATACCCTGGCTAATATAAAAAAAAAGTATTAGTGGGTAGAATTTTAAAATTATAGACGAATATAAAAAATTAAATCATTCCTACTTAATTACAAAATAATATTTTCACCCAATCATATACTAAATTAAAAAAATGTAGTCATTCATATTTTGAAGATTTTCTTTACATATTTTGAAACTTTTCTTCATATATTTGTTTAATTTCATCTTTAGTGGAGGGGTGGGAGGTTTAGAATCATGTTTTCGACATAATTTTAAGGCTAAAATTTTTTATTCACGTTTTTAACAGAAAATTACAAAATTTTGTGTATTCACATGCATGTTAAGGCAATTTTTATTTATTCAGGTAAACGAAAAAACCAACATGCATAAAATAATATAAAAAATATGTAATACATTAAAATTCTTCACACAATCAAAAACATAGATTAAAAATAGTATGAGCTACTATTAACATAAATGGTGCTTCAATAAAAATTAAAAGAAACTATTTTTTATTTGAAAAATATACATTATGTATTAACATCATTAATAAAACTATTACTCCTAATAACTAGAGAATATTATGATTCGTAAAAAATATATTTCATAAATATACAATACCGTTGTTAACAAAAACATTACAAATTTTATAAGCATATATCGATCTACTAAAACATTATATATATATACTTAAACTAAATTGTAAAATAATTTTTTGCATTGAAATATGTATGTACACATCGTATATATCATGGGACCAAAATATTCTGATTTTAATTTTTATTTAAGAAATAAATAGTTAAAAATATGCACTTGCTGCCATGCATTGATTTGTTTTAAAAAGAATTTTTTTAATATAAGTTTTGATTTTAGTATAGCATAGGTTTTGATAACTGTAAATTTTTTTGAATTTGGATCATGATAGGAAATTTTGAATTGAAACAAATTATAAAAACATGACGAGAAGTTTGAATAACAAGACAAATTCAATAAAATCTCTTATCTGAAATCTTTTTTCAAACTCTAAATAATTTGGATAAATTTCAACTTTGAAACTTATTATTCATCTAATTTTGAGTAAACTTGGGAGAAATTTAAGAAATTTTGATAATTTCAGATAAACTAGAAAAATATATAAATATTTTTTTTAGTTTTGAAAATAGGTAATCCGTATATCTAATCTCATACATGTTTCCTTTCCATAATTTTCTCCTACCTGTTTTGATAATAATAAATGATCTCAAATGAATAACTATTTTAAACAGAATAAGGAATGATAAAAAAAAAATTCAAGACTAATACCAAAAAAAATAAATGGGATACCACTCCAAAAGTGTGAGGATTTGGTTTTTATTTTAAGTCATTTTATATTTTTAATCCAATAAAATATTATATATATATATATAGTAAACTTAATTAAAGAATTATTTTAATAAATATTTTAGTCTCATGCTATAGCACATATAGTAACTTAGTATTACATAATAAAACACTTTTCTAAACTATAACATCAAGAAAGAGCATTTTGTGTAAAGAGAGTACTTTAATCTATTGAAAAGACACCTGTATCCTTCTTTTCCTTCTATCATTATAGACAATCAAAATTTTATCATGATTTGTAAACCACCACGGAATGGATATACCATTGTGGACATACTAAAATCTATATTTTATTTGTCTCCGTCTATCCATAGAGCACACTTACTATAGTTAACCAAATTTTTTATTACAATTTGTAAAGCATCGTGTACATCCATATGGATACACCACTGTGGATTTATCAACATGTATACCTTGTTGTCTCTGTCTATCCACATGTCACACTCACAATTGACAACAAAAACTTTTATCACGATTTATAAACCACCATGGACATCCATATGGATACACCTCTGTGGACATACCAATATATATACTTTGTTTTCTCCGTCATTTGGCACACTCACTATAGACAACTAAACTCTTATCACGATTTGTAAACTAATTTAGACATCCATATGATTACACCATCGTGGACATACCAACACATATACTTTTGTAAACTATCCAGGACATCCATATGGATATACCTCCATGGACATACCAACATATAAACCTCGTTTTCTCCATCTTTCCATATGGTACACTCACTATCGACAATCAACTTTTATCACGATTTGTAAACTAACATGGATATCCATTGTGATGCTTGCACCAACAAAATTCAGTAATGGCATTATAGGAAAAACGCTAGGGAAAAAGACAAAAAAACTACCCTAGTTGAAGAAAATACTATTTCTTGTAAGATAACTCTACAAATTACCTTTTTATGTAAATCTCTCTTAAAATAATACAATAATTAGAAATCAAAATCAAAAACTATTACCATTGTTCATAAAAAAGATTAAGTATACGATAAAATAAATTATAACTAAACTTTTTAACAAACTTTATTATGAAGCAAAAATCCACGTGATCTAGTTTTTGTAATAGATGATGTCAACTCAAATGAAGAAGTAATTTAATTAAACTCTTTGGTTAAATATGTTTCAATAGATGCTTACAAATATTTAAGTTTTATTTTTTCTTACTAAATATACATAAAAATCTGCATATTAAATTTCACTTAGATTACTTTAACTATAATTAATGCAAAATTTAATTTTCATATGTCACATATCTTCGTATTATTAAATGCTTTTGCATATTTATATCTCATTAATAAAAAAAGATGTTTATTTCAAACGGACTGATTCTAAAAAAATGTATTATATAAAAGAGGTATATACATCTCAAAAACCCATTCATGTGCTAGTGATAGAACGGTGAAGCTTGTCCTCATAGTAAGTTTTCTGTTTTGTTACTTTGAAATTTTTTCACAATTCTACTTTGATCGTTCTACTTTTAACCAAGATTAGTTTTCAGTACTAAAAAGGTTGATCAATGAAATTTACATTAATTTGATAATGTTTTTTTTTCGCTAGTAATTCTTTTATTTTGAGATTAGTAAAATAATTCATTTATTAATTTACTTTAATGCAAAAAACTAAAATTAACTTTTTGTTTGGAAAATGAAGTTTCGACAAACTTCAAACTTCAAAGTTGAAACCATGTCTGGAAAAAGAAGCAATGACAGTAAATCAAGTGGAAGTAAGGCAAGCGAAAGTAAACAAAGCGGAAATAAGCCAAGCAGAAGTAAACCAAGCGAAAATAAGCCAAGCAGAAGTGAACCAAGCAGAAGTGAACCAAGCAGAAGTAAACCGAGCATAAGTAAACAGAGCGGAAGTAAGCCTAACATAAGTAAACCGAACGGAAGTAAACCGAACGGAAGTAAACCGAACGGAAGTAAACCGGACAGAAGTAAGCCAAACGAAATTAAACTGAGCAGAAGTAACCCAAACGGAAGTAAACCGAGCGGAAGTAAGCCAAGCAAAAGTAAACCAACCGGAAGTAATTTGAGCGGAAGTAATTTGGGCGGAAGTAAGCCTAACAGAAGTAAATCGAGCGAAAGTAAGCCAAATGGAAGTAAACCGAAGCCAAATAAGGATGATGCATATGGATATGTTAGGGCTGTGAAGGATACATTTCATAACGACCGTGGAAAATATAATGAGTTCCTTGCGATTATGAGTAATTTTAAAGCTCGAAGGTATGTATATACATAATACTTTTGCAAAATATGAGAATAAGTTTTGTTTTCACTTTATTTCAATTCTTGTTGGGGCAACACTCTATAATTTTCTTAAAACTAACTAATTTTGAATGTAATTTGATTGTAGTATTGATAGGGATGATTGCATGAAACAGGTGAATAAATTATTTAAAGGACACGAAGACTTGATTTCGGGTTTCATTATTTTTTTGCCAAAGTCTTTGAAGCTCAATAAATGGAACCACGTAGAGGTTAAAACTAGGAGGTGATGTAATAACCTCCATCATCCTCTTCTATGGGATATAAACTGGTTTGGTTTAGATTTGTTCTAAGTCGAATCTGTTCATATAATAAAAATCCGTTCTCTTTCTTTATTTGGGAATCATGGTTTCGATTAGTCATTAATAAAGTAATAAAATCTTTATCCTTGTTGTTTCCAACTTTTTCTCTATCAACCTCCTCTCAAATCTCTAATCGAGAATATCAAAGTATGCACCTTAGCGTACCAAAATGTTGGCCCAAGAAGTTTGATCTGGAATGGAGCAACCATTCAAAGCCTAAACCGTACCATACGGTTTTGATAGAAGAGAGTGTATAACTCTTTTGAACAGAGGTTAACGGTTATGACCATTATGCAAGCTTCAGTGGTGTCGGTGAAATTTATATATCGTCCGAATCTTCGGATGAAATTTATGAATATGACTCTTCCGATGATGATTATGAGTATTCAGACATTACGAGATAAAGGCCAAGAAAATGGAGCATATTCTTTAGCAACTTTTGACTTTTGATATCTCGACTTTTGTCTTCCAAAACTTTATAAAAGTATAGATTTTAGAGGTCATGAGGCTCACCAGTCACCATTCTTGTATTCCTCTTAATGAAAAGAAAACTAGACGTAATGGTGTATTTACTTCCCATAGATAAACGGTTATAATTAAAAGTACAAATCAGATTTAAATAAGTGATGACTGACGAGACAGTAGAAGATATTACAATAATGGGTTTGCCTAAAAAGTGAGTTTTCGACCAGTAGAGAAAACGCAGTGACAGATCCCTATTTTCTTTGCCTGAAGGTCGTGTGTGATGGAGCATTGATTTTAAGAAGATCCGAAAACAAGAGTTTGTGAATATTTTAATAGTTATCAAAACTTCTTTAGAAAAATCTCATTTTTGTTAATTGATTAAAATCTAAATACAATATAAATCTTAAACAGTTAAATATTTTATTATATTATTAATTAAGAAGCAAATTGAGTTGTGGGTGAGAGTTATTGTGGCTGATTACTTTTTACTTTTTATATAAACTAGGAATGTTTCCGCGCTACGCGCGGACTGTTTTTATATAGATATTTGATTATTATTTAAGTTTTATTATTTTCACTTTAAGTTAATATTTTAAATATAATTTAATTTTTAAAATTGTTTTGATATGATTATACATCGAAAATATTTTAACATATTCAAAAAATGTATAATTTTAAGAATTAGCTACTTGATATGCTAAAATTAACTGTTAATCTAAAACTTAATATTTGTATATAAACTCACTGTTATTCACTACTAACTTTCAAAATATTATTAAAATTATTTTTGTTTTGACTAAATTTGATTATTATTGCTTCATGCTACGCTCGGATTGTTTTTATATAGATATTTGATTATTATCTAAGTTAAATTATTTTCACTTTAAGTTAATATTTTAAATATAATATTTAATTTTTAAAATTGTTTTGATATGATTATACATCAAAAATATTTTAATGTATTCAAAAAATGTATCATGATATAATTTTAAGAATTACCTACTTGATATATGCTAAAATTAACTATTAATCTAAAACTTAATATTTGTATATAAACTCACTGTTATTCACTACTAACTTTCAAAATATTATTAAAATTATTTTTTGTTTTGACTAAATTTGATTATTATTGTTCCAATTAATTTAGTTTTTTTATTTTTATTTCAACTGTGTTCGTGTAGTGTTTTTATTTAATTAGCAATCTCAAATACAAACAACACTCAATGTTCTAATCTCTTATAAATCTATAAAATAACTATGATTTATATAAATAAAAACAATATTTACATAGTATAAAAAATCACAATCATATTGATAAAATGCAATTTTGATTTGGTCTATGAAGTATACGTAAACTATAAAAAATATAGATGAATAAGGCAAGTAATACATATAAAAATACAATTTCATACTAACTCATTATGTTAAATAAAGTATGTTGAGTTTCTCAAAACTCAAAAGATGTAAAAAATTTTGCTTGTAATTTAACTTAAACATTTTTTCTTAAACTACACATATATATTTTGATGAGCCTTTATAATTAAACTAATAATATATATTGTATTATTTTTAAAGGAGTTTCTTAACCCAGTAAAAAAAACCATATTAGTTTTTCATTCAAGTTGGGTTTATAAGGAATTTTGTTGATGTAGATAATTAGAGATTTTTTTAGACATTTTCTTCTACATAAAAATGTGTATGTTATTTTTTCAAAAATGCATTATTATTTAATTTAAAAATTTACTAACTTGATATATATAAAAATTAACTGTCATCTAAAACTTAATTTTTTTTATAAACTGTTTAACTCATGCGCTGACATGTATCGCTTGTAGTAACTTGACTATCTTAAGCCAACTAAGACACATATTGAATAAATATCAGTACATGAAATTCTTCTTTTGTCTATCATTTTCTGCAATGTAAATAGTAACGATGATCGAAATCTTCATATAGATAGATGCTTTGAAAAGCTTCCTATAATTTATGTTGTCTTGTTGGTTGTCATAAATCTAACGTACTATGATGTTTAATCTTTATGTTTCTAAAAGGTGAATGTTTTAGATTTTTATAATTTGTAAATGTTTTAAATTTTATTTTAGAAATTATTCTTTTGTAATCTTGTTTCTATTAACTATTATTTAAGTTTTTTAGAGCAATTTCTTGTCCAATATATTCACTATATTACAAAAAGGAGTATATATTAATGCTACAGATTTAAATGATATTTATTTTACTGATTTCGAAAATGATATTTAGTTTTATTTACTTATTCCTAATAACTATATTAACTTAGTGGTTCTATTTATTTATTTTATGTGTATTTCAAAAGATATAAAGTAAAAATTTTTATTATTGTTATATTACAAACAAAAGAAGTATATATTGATGCTATAAATTTAAATGATGTTTATTTTACTGCTTCAAAAAATGATATTTTAATTTTATTTACTTTTGTTCGTAACTATATTAATTTTAGTGACAAAAATGAGTATATATTAATGCTACAGATTTAAATGATATTTATTTTACTGATTAAAATGATATATAATTTTATTTAGTTTTTGCTAATAACTATATTAATTTAATAGTTCTATTTATTTATTTTATGTGTATTTTAAAAAAATCTAAAGTGAGAATTTTCATTATTGTTAATTTGTTATATTACAAACAAAAGAGTATATATTGATGCTATAGATTTAAATAATATTTATTTTATTGATTCAAAAAATAATATTTTATTTTTATTTACTCTTGTATTTAACTATATTAATTTTGGTTCTATTTATTTACTTTATGTGTATTTCAAAAAAATCTAAAGTGGGAATTTGTATTATTATTTTTTGCTGATGTGTCATATTTTTAGAGTAGTTTGAAAAGCTGAGGTGGATAGCTTAAGGAGCCCCAAATAGTTCCTTTTATTTAGTATAGATTGACTAAATTTAATCTTAATGAAATCAACAAATCAATATAATCTAATTTTTAACTAGTTTTCGTTTTTCAAAATCTATATTTTAAAATTTAAGATTATATCATAAAAATATTTAATTTGCTAAAAAATTTTTTTAGCATAAATCACAAAATTATATATTATTAATTGGAGCTTTTTCATTACTCTCACTAAATAGTAAATATTATACATATAAAGAATTTTAATGAAAAACCTAACTATTTGATTAAACCAATTTTAATGTGATCAGATATTCTTAGAAGAAGAAGAAGAACAGCAATGCCTGGTCCTGGCGCTGCTGATATGTACCGGTTTTGTATGAGATAGACAATTTAATATACTGTTGCACTTTTTCCGGGGACTTAATGTGGTCTGAGTCTGACTCTAAGACAAAGAGTAGAGAATGGAGAGAGATCAAGGGTTTGGAAAAACTGTGTGAGCACCGTACAAGGGGTTTAAGAACTGGGCGTGACTTTGAAATAACTGATGGGAAACTTTTGTTTTATGTGGGATACCAAACAGAAAAACAAAATTCGGTATGCCAAGATTTGTTTAGAATCAAGATGCAATGGACGTGATGTTTGGGGGTAAGGTTGAATGGTGTTTACATTTCCTGGCGAGGCATCCAGATTCTATTGTATAACAGCTTCGGTTTAATGATTCTTAGTGGATACGGTATGAGTCGTTCCTTTTGCTTTCAACATGCTGTTTTTGTTCTTTGAGACAAAGTTTACATTTAGTTTTTTTTGTTGTTGTTTGAAAAACATGTTTTTATTTTTGCTAAATCGAAAAGATATAATTTTTTGTATGAGCCATGGATGGAGCTCGCAAGAGAAAACTATTACGCTTAACTTATGAAAGAAAAAGCAACTTGAACCATCGGGAAAATGTGGAAACGTTTTTCGCCTCTTCCGAACCAAGTTTGGAGTAATTTTCTTCATCAAGATTTGAGTTTTGCTTTGTTTTGACCAACCAAAGTACAAATGATTTATATACTTAGTGAGATCCGCCATTGAATCTAACCCAAAATCGATGGGAATCTGCTTCTTGATAGGTCCAAAATCCATTTCTCTAGCAATACCCTTCGTTTTTGTTCCATTTCCAATCGGCTTCATAAGTCCACAATATATAGAACATACCTACTTTTGATTTTCTATATCATTCTTTTTACTAATTGATTTTGTTGGAATGGTATCAGAAGATATTATATGCGCTTAATTAGCTGTACAAAAAAGGAGTTATTTTGTTAATTATTTT